CCACTCCGCCGTAGCCTCTTTTCTAAGGAGCTCTTAGCTTTAGAGCCCTGCATTGAACATGATGACACTGGGGGACTGCCCACAGCCTGAAGCACCAGAGCCTGTTGGAGTGGGGGGTAAGGTAAGTTTAATCCCCTTCCCTTTTCCCAACTCAGACCTAATGAGCATTTAACCCTTATAATGCAGGTTTTTGTTGTACTGTGCCTAGAGTTGGGCCTAAAACCCTTTGATAGGCTGTGGATGTGTATAGTAATAGGATTGTTGTTCTTCCCTAAAGCTGAACTTCAGGCAAGCAGTCAAATACACAGTGGAAATACATATAAGGGAGCAGTCTCAACTGACAAAGAATTTGTATGTCTGTCCATCCAGCTCTGAGATTTAGGCAAGGCTGTTGGTGTGCATGTGCCTGGCACAGTGATGCACTCGATGTGAGGCACATCACACTGTTTCTTTTATTTTTTGTTTTTTTTTGTTAGAGCTTTATGGAAATGTCACTCGTGGCATTTTATTAAAGGAGAACTATGTGGTCAGGGCTTTTCCCCATAGTTCTCCTTAGGGTAACAGGAGGACACAAACTAGCGTCCTCCCGTCACCCTAAGCTCAGTATACCGCGAGCTGCAGCTCGCGGTATACTGAGACGCCGGAGTGGATCCCGACATCGATGTCGAGATCCGCCCAGCTGCGTGAGTGACAGCTGGCTCTGCCTATCTAGAGGCAGAGCCAGCTGTACCCTCCCCCGTCCGTTCCGCCAGTCAGCGCTGTCGAATCGGATCGGGGAGGGGGGGAATCCATCCCCTCCCCTGTCACGGCAGAGAGCTGTCACAGGATCGAGAAGTGAGCGAACACCGGCATGTGTTCGCTCACCTCCCGATCTACTGAGCCGACCTGTGACAGTCTCACAGGTCGGCTAGAACTATGAGGTGAGTGAAAAGCACTCACCTCATATTTCTCCTTTAAGCTCTATGGGCACACCTTGGTGCAATGGTACGCAGTGCCCACTGAAGAGAAGGCAAATTGCTTTGTCTTGCGTTCAGGCTGCTCTGTAAAAAACACCCCGCGCAGCCCGAACGCATTGAGTGTGAACGGGCCCTTAACAATTGCATTTATTTATTTTTTATATCTGCCTGAAGTTCAGCTTTAAGAGCCATATTTTACATGAATAATGTGCTTTTGCATTTTTGTAGACAATCGAGCATTTCTGGAAAATAATATGTCACCTTATTTCCCTTTTGTTGCAGAATCGGGGTCGTCTGGCAGAGAAAAGAACCATCCCGCTTCCCCCGAGTCGAATACCTAAAAAGGAACCCTGCTCTGTCTTTTCCACGGGTGACGAAAGCCCTAAGGGAAATGGAGAGATCCAGACTCTAAAGCTGGAAGAAGATCTGCACATCAGTATCATGAAAAGAAGGTACATGTCCTAACGAGAGACTGCGTTTAATAAGCTCCTAGTGCCCCTGGGGTAGAGGCTTTGAACAGCCATCATGTGTGGGCTCATTTTGGCTGATCCCTCCCTCACGCTGGCAACATTTTTATGGAAACAGGATCTATTCGTGCCTCTCGGACAGCACCTGCTGCTATCACTGATCCCATCACAGCGTGAGACAGGGCAGCACAGCTCTGCTAATCTTGTAGAATTTGAGGGCGGGAGGATTTGTGCTCCGCACATACAAGTCTCTTTGACAGATGCCATATTGTAACCATGTTATGTGAATTCCAGGGTGCCCATAACTTTGTTGGCATCAAAGGACCCATGAACCTCACATATAAGCTGGTTTATATGAGAGAGGCTTAAATAATATTCATAGATCTATAGGTAAAAGTTTAAGAAACTCATCAGGACTAAAGATATTTGAGATAAGCTTTTTTCAGGCGGATGAGTTTGCTTCACACAGCTGACTTCCTGTTTGTTGTTTCCTTGCATGCAGAATTTCCCACTTTGGAATGACTCATATGAAAGAATAGATTTCATTCAACTGTGTAACAAATGTTATTCATAGTTCTCATTGTCTTTGTTAGTATTATCAAGAATATATTTTATAGGCATTGAGCATTACGGTTTTTCTTTGACACAGACTCCAGCCATTTTGAGGATTCTAAAGTGTTTTCCAGGCTAGTTAGATACAATCGTGCCAATGTGTTAGGTCTCTGTTGGGTCTGTGTTGGGTCATACTCTAAGTTCAACATGCCAGGTGCAGCTCCATGGAAAGCTTCCAGGGATCACCCCATCAGTTTAAGACATTACTGTCCTTCCTTCTGGAGGGTGGCTACTTTTGTTCCCCATGGTCCCTGTGTGTGTTGTAAAGTAACCCCCGCTCCCAGCTCGCTCCTGTGATGGACTACATTGAGATTGTGATGGACTAAATTGTATTGAGATTGTAGTCCATCACGGGAGGGAGCTTGGAGCGGTGACTACTTTGCAAAACACACAGGGACCATGGGGAACAAACGTGGCCACCCTCCAGAAGGAAGGGCAGTGTCGCCACTAATTCAGAGATTAATTGAGGATCTACAGCCGAGTGATACACAAAGTAAGATACATTTTTGTTGGTTAAGGTACTTGAATGCACTTTTAACATGTAACTCCTGAGTTTTAGTGTCACTTTAAGTTTGAATTAGGCCTGGTTCACACCTGGGCGTTTTACAACGCGTTCCTACGCACTGTAAAACGCTCAACATGTGAAAACCAATGATTGCCTATGGGTATGGTTTCCACCTGGGCGTTTTACAGCGCGTAGGAAAGCGCTGCAAAACGCCCTACGCTCAAAGAAGTACAGGAGCTTCTTTGGGGCGTATTTGCCGCGCGTATCCACTAGGATACAGCCGGATAGCCCTCGGAAACGCGCGTTTGTCACGCGTTTCTTTTACCGCATATCGCGGTAGAAACGCGCGGCAAACGCGCATATTCCGTACGCCTAGGTGTGAAACCAGCCTTAGTGTTTAACCTGAATTTATATTCTAGAGTGGAGATCAGTAGAAACCAGTTTTGCTTTTCAAGCTGTGCTCTGAGGCCAAAGCATGTGCTGAGCAATTGATTAGATAGCATAAGCTCAGTTTAATTGTAGTGTCAACTCTAAATTACTAGTTGGGGATTTTGTTCTTTGTCCCTTGCAATGCACCTTATAATACCATTCATGTATATAAAAGTAGTACAATGCAGAAAAATACCCGGTGATTCTTCCAGTCCTCTGCATGAAGACCCACTTCCTGTTCCTGTCTGACCATACTAAAAATGGAAGCAGGAATCACCTAGCAATGTCAGTTTGTGTCCCTGCTTCAAGCTCCAAGCTCCCTCCCGTGATGGACTACAATCTCAATACAATTTAGTCCATCACAATCTCAATGTAGTCCATCACAGGAGCGAGCTGGGAGCGGTGGCTACTTTACAACACACACAGGGACCATGGACTAAAAATAGAAGCAGAAATCACCTAGCAATGTCAGTTTGTGTCCCTGCTTCCTACCATGGAGCTGCAGGGTGCCATGCCCTGCATGTGGCGTGCTTGTTGTCCCATAGTCGGTTTACTGCTGACATGCTTTCCACCCAGCTCTTCCCAGCTTGATTAATAGCGGCTCTGGGACCTGTGATGTACTGCAGCATTGTTTTTGGTCTCTGCTGCTGACAGTCCCCAGTCTGTGTGTGTCTCAGAATCTAATTTCACTTTTTTTTCTAGGGGTTAAGCCTCACCAACTGCCCTTCCCTTGTAGGACTGCCAACATTGGCTACAGAGGCCTGTCGCTGGGTAGGGTGTGTGCCCATTCACACGTAGCTTCCATGTAGCTAGAAATATATTTTTTAAATATTTCATACCTTTCTAGTTGTTTCTTTGGAGCAGGCCTTCGGGTAGACCGCAAGCTACTCCGAACAATTTCAAAGTGAGTCTGTACAAGCCAGGCTTCTAATAATTTATCCTTTGTTAGGACAGATGGTGTTCAAATCTAGTTTACAACTGGTAAAAGAAAATCTGTCAGCACAGTGCAGTCAGGTTTAATTATAGTAAATTTAACTCCTCAGACCCCTTCTTAACATTGCATTGG